CCGCGGGGGGGGGGGGGGGTCGTGAGGGCAGCCGAGGGGCTGCGGACACCTCTCCCTTGGGCCTGCCTCTCCTGCTTTTTTTTCTTTCTCTTCTACCTCCTGGCTGCCCTTACTCGACCTGACCTTGGGTTCCCTTCCTTGGACCTTTTCCTCTTTGGTAATAGCAACGGGCGCATCCGCACCTGCAGCCTGAGGGGGCCGAGTGTGGTCAGTGGCGCAGTGTTTAACCCCAAGGGCAAAGCAACCGCTTCAGTGTGTGGCCCCATCCTCTCAGAGCACGCCTTTCTTGCCCGATTCCTGAGCCCCTACGAGGCGCTAAGCCCGAGGTGCGTGTGCCTCATACCAGTGCGCTTAGCAGCGTTTCTCTCAGTAGACGGTCAGGTTTCTTTTCTCTTCTAAAAGATATGAAATGCGTGCTTGTGGCTCACCAGGCCTAGCAGCGCTGTTTCCTCAGAGTTCCTAGTATTGTGGCGAGAGAATTGGTAATAGTTGGCACACCTATTGCTGAACTCCACCTGATGGAAATCCTATACCTACGCGAAGCAGAGGCCACACAGAGCACGCTAGGGATGTAATAGCGTTATGGGTATTTTCATCATTGCCTTCTCTAGTCATGTTTGGGCAAATACGAACTTTTGAAATGAAGTAAAAAAAGGTTATATTGTGTTGAGGGTAATGTCCGTCTTTGCGCACACATCAGTGTTTCATCAAATTTTTGCAAGCAACTGGTAAACAATTTCTGTGTTTTGAAGCTGGTGATTTGATTCTTCAGTCTGTATCTTCTCCTTAATAAATGGACGTTTATAGTTTACCTGCATACATCCTGTCGTCTGAAGATGTTCTCCTGTATTTTGTTGTGCATTACTTACATCATGCAAAGGCCCCTGTTATTTCCACTTCCTTCTCCATCACCCTCCCCTCCATTCAAAAAATCCTGAATAGATGAGAAAGGTGTTACCAATATCAGCTATCTTCAGCTGCTAAATCTGATGCTGGGCTTCATCCTGGAAAATCCCTTTTGGTATAAAAAGAAAGGTTTATTAAATGCCAATAAATGTTTATTTTCGGTATACACTTTTAAGAGCTAATAAATTTTATGTACTAAGCAAATTACTTTCTTGGGGAAATAGTCAGGCTTAAAACTGTGCTTGAACCTCTATGCTGAGGGAACAAAGAAAACACACTAATGAAAAAGGCAATTTAGAGGATTTGATTACTGGAATTAAGATGTCAGAGGTACTTTCCTAGAGAGCAATTGGAAAAGCTGACACTTAAACTGAAAGCCTTTCTGTATAATCGTACGTTTCAGAATCATTCCAAAGTCGTAAATCCAAAAGATTTTTTTTTTTTGGTTAAGCTCTCCTTAAAAGGAAGATAAGTCCTTAATGCTGATGCTCCTCTCTCTGTTGATGGGAGAGGAGGGTTCTGAATGACTTGAATGTTCATTTTTAATTGATTTCTAAATTTCTGTTTTAATAAGCTCGTGGCATTCAGCGCACTGCAGTGAGACAAGCTCATCACAAATATGAACCTAACTTCCATGATAAATATGGCAACATGATACTCATCGGTGGAGCCGTAGTTTTTACTGCTGTTTGGGGATATGTGAGTTTTCCTTTTTTTTCCACCAGTCTGTTGTTTCAAACCTTTGTGCAGCTTAATAGCCTGCAAGATTACAGCTACAACTTATGCAATCAGAATGGTGCATCTTTGTTAAGGAAGTGAATACTGATGTGATAGAGACGAAAGTTGTTCATCTTTTGATCTCTTACATAATTTTCAGAGTCAGTCTATCTTAAAACATTAGAAACGCAAGCGCTCATTTTTTCCTCATTTACTCGTGTTTGCTAAGTTGTATAGTTAGGGGTCTTAGCAGAAAAAGGTATAGGTGATGATGAAAATATCGTATGGATGATATTTAAGAACTCGATTTTATTGATGCTGTTGTGCATCTCTTAACGCTTTATTCGAAAGCTAGATATTCTGGAGTAGAAAACCAAAGTATTTAAATATTGCTCAGTATAAATGTTTGTTCCACCTTGTTGAAAGGTGAATGAGATGTCATATTCTGATGCAATAAATCTAAACTGCAAGCAATAAGAAAGCTTTCTGTCATAAGCTTTCTTGGCCTTCAAAGTTAATAATCTTGATTATTATCCTTCCACAGGTGTTAACACGAGCTGGAGTTGAGTGGGGCTTGTCACCTGTTGGCAGAGTCACTCCAAAAGAATGGAAAGAGTAACAGTCAACATACTATGAACTGGTGTAAACTTTCACTGAAGACAGCGCTCATGCTACGAATGTAGCGGCATTTGTTTCCCGATTACCACTTGTATCGTGGCATTCCTTGATGTAATAAACATACCTAGAAACCTGTCTGGCTCTTCTAGAGCTCGCGTTCAGAGCTTTCTGCAGAAGTATAAGAAGTTGTGGAAAAACCCAAAATGAATTGCACTGTATTGTATGTAGTCCCAGTTGTTCCTGTTAAGGCCACCAATGGATAATGGACAAACTGTAAGGTACAAGTCAAAATATTGTGCAATTGTCAAAGTGTCCATTTAGGTCGATGTGTGTATGTAAATGACTTTCAGGTGCACCCTCAGTGCAAAATTCAGATCACTGTAACTACCTCTGACTGCTACTGCTGCTGCGTTTCAAGTGACAAAGCTTATGATTTGCATTGAGATACCAGTTTTTTGCACTGAGAAATATTTTCCTTCTTAAATCGTCCCACAAATAAGCTATTTCTCTCTGAGCCTCTGAGAGTTACCAAGAGGTCTGTGTATTTCCACTCCCAGATCTAGACTAAAATCTGCATTAGTTATTGGGTCCTAGACGCTTCTGAGACACAGTCTATTTCTCAGCAGTGCTCTTTGGAGAAATATACATTTTCTAAATAAATATTAACGTAAACTTCATTAGGAAATAGATTGGCAGTATAAGCAGACTTCTTAGAGCTTTGAGTCGCTCTGAATCCCAGAAAAGCACAAACATCCTGCTTTGTGATACAGCAGATACACACAAAACAGTCGTCCTCTTTCCCCTCAGAGACGGTAGTAACAATTTGCTTCCTAATTACTGCTTTACCTTGGGCTACAGTGAAAACGCGCCTGTTGCCCAGCAAGTATTTTTTGGGTGCCGTGTGAACACGCTGAAGCGGAAGCACAGTAACTAGGCTAGCTGCAATTACCTGAGCTTTGCGTTGGGGGTTGCGTTTAACTGCGCTGCGTACCTTCCCACGGCGCAGTTGAGCAGCGGGGGCAGCACGGGCGGAAAGCCGCGTCCCCCGCAGAGCAGACCGCCTGCGGCCAGCTGAGACTCCAGACACGGACCGTAAACGGGCGGGGGAGAGGGGGGGGGCCGGCCCGGCGCGCCACGTGACCG